AGAGGGTCTGGTTGGGGGTATCCCATAGAGTTTTAAAGTTTGCCCGTGTGAGAGACTGAAAGTCCGAGAGGAGCTTCCGAGCTAAAGCATCCCGGATTTTAATACGAAAGAGGCGGTGAGTGGTGTATTTGTGCCTGAAAACCCTCCTACACCTGGCCAACCATATCTCGTGTTTAGCCATATGAATAAGGAGACTAATCACGTAGGGAGATACAGTTCCTTTATTGAGGAGAATATGAAGTATTACGTTTTCACGTGATAGAAAGTGCAGACCAAGAAGGGGGGTAATCCAACCCCAGATCTTCCTTGCAACCCTACAGAAATAAAAGAGGTGTGCAGCCAATTCTGGCGAAGAGTTGCACATTGGACAGTTTTCACTCATCACATAAACTCCGATAGACCGGAGCTTGACTTTGGTAGAGAGTGCATTATGCAACAACCACCACTGGAGTTCAACGCAGTGTTCGGGAATAAGCCCATCAAAACATCTGCGCCAAACAGTGGTCCAATCGATAGTGGCCTGAGTGTTTAACGGACAGAGGGATAGCAAGGTATCGGGCCTAAGGTGGCGATAAATTTCGCTAGCCTTAGTTTTAACAGAAGGAATATTCCCAGATTGGGAGAGACTGAGTAGGTGCGTGCACCATACTTTCACAAAGGGTGGTAGATCCAACACTTTGGGCATAAGGTTTACCTTGTAATCAGGTAAAAGCAAATTAAGGCGATACCCTAGAAAGAAGCTGTACAGCTTACTAACCGGGTGATCGCGGGCGTTAAGGGCAAGGACAAGCTGCCTAATTTGGGCAGCAGCAGAGAAGAGGGAAGGCTCAAACATAGTCCATCCACCGTTTGCTCTAGTATTATACATAATATTCCTATTAACCCATTCGGGCTTGTTGCCCCAAACAAAACGGAAAAGGAGTCTATTAATATGCCTGAAGCCTGCGTCCAGGCCGAAAACAGAGGCATAGTACACACAAATACCAAACATAATGTTTTTGTAGACAGCTATCCTACTTGGAAAGTAGAGATAGCTTCCCGACCAGATAGAGATTTTGTCCCCAATTTTAACCTTAATCTCCTTTAGGTTATGTTTTGCCGAGTCGGCGCCAAAGTACAAACCTAAAATCTTAACCCTATTGCTCATAGGGATGTCAGAGAAGGGCACTGGGAGAGAGATGGAACCAACAAGGGGCAGAAAAGAAGATTTCCCCTTGTTGATGACAGCTCCAGAGGCCTGACAATATTTGTCAAAGTGGCCAAAAATTCTGGAGATAGCCCAATTGTCTTTCACAAAGAATGTGACATCATCCGCATGGGCTACGAACTTATAATAGTCCGCTTTGTAGTACCCAGGCATAGGGTAGCCAGAGATACTAAAGTCCTTTTGTATCTCGCCCAAGAGGGTGTTGATACTCAGGGAGAAAAGAAACATAGAAAGAGGACATCCCTGTCTAACACCCTTTCCGAGCGGGAAGGGGTCAGAGAGATGGCCATTGATAGTAATGCGGCAATGAGCCTTACTATACATAATTTTGATGGCCGAAAGTACCTCGTCAGGTAAACCATACTTTTTGATAACATGCCAAAGGAAACCGTGATCAACACGGTCAAATGCTTTCGATTGGTCAATCGATAGCAGAGCAAGTGGCCATTTTCTGTTTGAGCAGTACGCACTAAGTAACCTAATGAAGCTTAGATTATCTATAATACAATGATTAGGAATACCTCCTGTTTGAGTGCAAACGATACTAGGGATAAGGGCAAAACCAATTTTGTTATAAATAACACGCGCGTAGATCTTATAGTCTACGTTGGTAAGTGTTAAAGGCCGAAAGTCATGGACAGTAGTGCAGTTGTCAGACTTGGGTAGTACGGAGAGCTGACCCAAGTTGAATTTTGAAATACTAGGGTCGTTGGGAGACAGAGAGTTATAAACCATCGGGAGAAGGGAGGACAATTTATCGGAAAAAACTCTATAGAACTCAGCTGGCAAGTTGTCAGGTCCAGGAGATCTGCCTGCATGCATTGCAGAAATAGCGGATTTCACTGAATCCTGTGAAAACAGATGCGGGAAAGGGTGAAGAGTAGCTGTAGGAATTGCTCTTGTCATGTCTTCCCATTGGGATGAGTCGACACGAGTGGGAGCGAAGAACTGGGAAAAATGCCGAAAGAAAACCTGGGTAATCTCTTGGTCATCTGTCGTTAAGGTGCCATCGTGCTTTAAGATGGAGGGAACGTTAGTTTTGGATTTGTCATTGCAATAACGACCGAAAAACTTCGAGTCGAAACGCCTCGGGGTGTTCAGGCGAGAGACCTTATACCCTTCATAGGCGTGTTCGAATCTTCTTGTCAAAAGGGCAGAAATGCTGGCTGATGCCTGCAGGATGAGGCCTTCAGTATACCCAGATTTATCATTGCAGCAGCGATAGTCAGATAAGAAGCGTTGAAGAAGCCTCAGACGACAGTGTCTCCTGCGGCGAAGG